TTACTCAGGGTTATCTTAATAAGCGTTCAACATCATTCAGTAATTCTGATATATCAACATCAACAAATTTACCACGTATCCCACTTTCTCCTAAATTCTTAATTCATCTACTATATTGCTTATATATCTCAATGTAAGTATTTATATGAACATTTTCAGTTTTTCTGTTGTTTTATGTTATTTTCTATTTATTAAAAAAAAAAAAAACTGTTATTGATTGAGCTTAAAGAAAAATTATTGCAAAATTAAATACATTGATCAGTTTACTGATTGAATCTATGTATTTTTTTTATATTGTTGAGTACAATGACTTATTATTTAAGAATACTAAAAGCTCTTATACACTTAGCTATGTTATTATTATACTAATTTAAACTATTATAACAGTTTTTCTTGCTAAGATTTAATTTTTAATTTTATATTTAAAATGTTAAAATTAAAGAAATTTGTAAATTTTAATTTATTTAATTTATAAGTCCCCAAATTTAACATCAAATTAAAATATTCTGTTCATTAAAAATATTAAAATTGATAATTTATTATTAATTTTTATCATAAATGTTTTTAAAGATTTAACTGTGGAAAAGCAGAAGCGTTTCAAGCTTTAGAAGATATTTATTATCGTGCATGTTATAGTTGTTATTGTGAAGTGATATTATTAGCCAATGCAATTAAAAATTCTTGTCAAGGATGTTTTGAAGGTCAGTTAAGGTAAACAATAATTTTGTTTTGAACTTTATGTATAATATTATTTAGGTGGTCAATCACCTAACATGACATCAGTGGGTACACCTGTAAGCAGTAATACTTGTAGCACACCAGTATCTAAATCAATGATTACAAATGCATCATTTAGAACAAAAAAGTTACCAGGTAATAAAATAAATTAAAATTTTTTCAAAATTATATTTAACAAAAAAAAATATTGATCATTTATTTAACTTATGATAAATATTTGAGTTTGTTTAGCAAAAATATTGTTTAAAAAAAAATGTAAAGATGCATTTTCAAGTTGTGTTACAGCAAAAAAACTCCTTATTTTGTTCATAGATGAATATTTAATTAATTGTTTTAAGTATTTAAGTTTTATGTTTTCTTCTTTGTCAATTTTCTTCTACTGAGTTTGTATTTTTGAGTATTTATCTGTATGTTTGGCTTGGTGTAAATTGGAAATCATTATAATTTCATACATTTTATTTCAGATGATATTCCAATTCAAAATCTTCAAGGAACATTTGATGAAAGTGCTGATGTTGCTGCAAATTTATCATCAATAACGGAGGAAACTAATGATTTAAAAGATCCAAGTGCTGATATGGTGCCAGTTAAACGAAGTTTGCCTAAAATTGCTGCTAATTTTGGTAAAAAAACTGCTGAAAAAATAGCAACTGCTGTCAAAAATTCAGGAAATATGAAAACATCAAAGTTTAACACTCAAAATGGTTCAGACATTTATGAAACCGATGAAAGTGGTATTGATTTAGCTGGATCTGACATATCTGATACTAAAACTGGTTTAGGACATGATGATAGAACTACTATGACACCTTTATTAAGTAGGAGAAATCCCAGTATGTCTGTCGAATTAGATTCTTCTAGATCAATTCAGGTAATTATATTTATGTTAAATTTTTATTTTTATTTTAATCTACTAAATATTGTTAAATCTACCTGATGCTGATAACATTTTTAATTTTTCTTGAAAAACATTGTTACATGTACAATATTTCTTAATACATATTTTCAGATGGGTGTAAACGTAAAGTGTTACAAAGAAAGATTCCATTAACTTATAAGTTATAACTTTCATTCTTCACTATTCATATTGGTAATACTATTAATATCGCAAAGTTATTGTTCTAATCACATTCGCTATTATTTTACATGTGTATAAGTTGTTGTAGTGCTTAAAGTACAATTAAATACTAGTTCACCCTTAGTTGCATGGATATTTTTTGTAGTTACATATTTATTTATTTGTAATTTTTTACCTTAAATTTAAAGTTTTTTTTTTTTATTATTAACTTCAATATTCTTTTTCTATTACCTTCTTTAATTGCAATTTTTAATAAATACTCAATATTTCTCGTTTAAGACTAAATAATACTGGTTTATTACAAAAATTATTCAAACAAACTAGTGAGTAGTAATATTTTTTAGTCATTTAGAGCAAATGAGAAAAAAAATATGTTCATAAATTCAATATACTGACCATCTGATGTTAAATACTTTTAGGTTCTGTTCATTATTGTTATGGCACTTATTACATACTAATTATTATACGAAAATTAATGTGGTAGTTTTATTGTAACCTAACATACAGTGTTTAACAAAATTAATATTAAAGAATTATATTATTATTGGAATTGATATTTCCAGCTGATAATGGTTTATTAAAATTTTTAGTAAGAAAGGGAGTTAATAATTTTTAAATTTAATTAATTTAAATTATTTTATTATCTGTAAGAAGTACTGAGGATTAGTAGCAGCTATAGTGTTAACTGTTAGTAGAATATTGTATCTTACAGGAATCTGAGATTTATATTTTAATAACTACAGGGTGCATAGTGTTTACCAATCATTAAATTAAATCTTAACACTGTTGGGAACAATTTTTATCAATAATTTTTTTTATATCCTATTATGTTCACATGTACATATTTGATATTAATAATGTTTGAAATATTTTTTTTTATTATTAATAATTATTGGAGCGTTAACCCCTACTCTAGATATGATACTGTATGTGAGAAGCACATTGAATACTTTAGATAATCTAGGGGACAAATAAAAATAATAAATATTTTTAAATTTATAGATTTGATACTTACACTCTTTGAATCTCCTATATTTATTTTATTACATTTTTTTGATTAAATCATTATATTTTTTATTTTCCTATGGAACATTTTTTTGCCTAACTACTACATTTTAAAACCAATCTTTAATTACATTTTAAAATAATAAGTATTGATAATTTTATTTTTATAACCATAACTTAATTTTATGTTGAATTTATTATAATTCCCAATGATAAAATAGAAAAAACTATTAAGACCAAAATATATTATTTATTTATGCAATATAAATTAGAATCAAATGACACAAAATGGCAGTGATGTATGAACCATGCAATTAAATTTAGAAAAAGATTTTAATATAAAATACATATATGATCAATTTCTTCTAAATATAATACTTACCTTTGACAATAAAATCTAATTATTAATAATGGAATTTATAACAACCAAAACATATATTTTCATTTATTTTTGATTAAATGTTTTGATTAATAATGAATATTTAGGAATTATATAATCTATGAACAATATTTCTAGTTTTATAATACTTGTTTTATTTCAATCATTTTTACCCAGTATATTATTGTGCAATTATAATTTATATTTCTAAAGCTTTATTTTTACTACAAAATATGTCATATATATTTTTTATTTAAGTACTCTGATTTCAAAATATAGTAGTGTATAAAATGTATTTGAATTTAACTAAATTATTTATGTTACAGATGGAGAGTACAGCATTATGACTTGCAATCAAATTATTTATTATATTGGGCTTATGGACAAGGAAGTTTGGTTTGGTGTAATTTTCGTAAAATGTATCAAAATTATCTAATAGATCTAGAATTTTATTGTGATAATCAAGATTTAATGTTCTTATAATTTTATCTTAAACTGTATGTACTTAATTAATTTTAATCTTGAAATTGTTATATTATTGATGAATAACAAATGTTGCTATTTAAATTAAAATCTTTAAGTTAAAAAAAAAAAAAAATAAATTAGTTGTTTTTGTAGCTAAAAATATTAAAAAGTATCAAGTTTAGTTTTACATAATAAATCAGTAACTATTTCCATAAATAATTTTATACCTAATCCATGAATATTATACTGCTGAAGATAAATTAACAGAGTTATACGACTGATCTGCAATTTAAATAACTCCTTGAAAATTACAATCATAGAAAAATTAGTCACGTTGGAAAATAAAAAAACTTAATTCTTAGGAATAATTTTAAGAATGTATTATTTTACTAGCCGTGTAACTCTTACTTAATGATTTAATAATATACTATAATTAATTATAAAATGTTTAAAAATAGAAAACTATGGAAATATTTCTAATACTTTTATTTTCATAATTATTGTATTGTATACAAGGGTTTATAAAAATTATTAAAATACACAGTTAACTGAAAAACTTATCTAACATGTATTATTTCTTCTAATTATTTTTTTATTAATACTATACTGTGAATTTGTAACAAGATACACAAAATTTAGGGACATCAAGTGTTTTTTATACAAGTATATCAACTACAACATAAAACAAAAAATATTCTAAAATATTAAGTAGTATTATTTCTTATTTGAATACTTATAATTAATACACACATGAAAAAATAGTTGAGTATACATTAAAATAAACTTAATTACAATCATTGAGAAATTTGCTTTGTCCTTCATTTTTTTTTTTTTTGAACCTTATAATTATAACTACATAATTTTAAATGAATCAAATGTCAATACAATTTATATTGTAAATACCATATTAGTTAAAACACAATTTTACATATTTTAAATTAAAAAAAATAGAAAAGAGTATTTTTAATTAATTCTATAAATTTCTATAACTAACAAATATCAACCAAATTTACTTTATACTAAATAGTACTAATACTTCTGTCTTAACAAACAATAGGTATATGTCCTAATGAATAGTTAAAAAATATTCATATCAATTTTTCTAAGGTTATTATTTTAAAAAAAAAAGTAATAATAAATTACAATAAAAATAACCACCTTGACCAATAAACAATAACATAATTAAAAATTATGTTTTGGCAAATAAATATATGTTGATTTTCAAAAAATACTTATTATAATTTAAAATAAGTTAATTAACAATTATTCTTATTAAACCAGCTTAAAACATAATACTGCATTTAAATATGTAAGAAAAAAAAAACATATAATGGATCAAAATTTGTTTTTAGATATGTTAAAAAAAAAGTATTTCAGTAATTCCAAAACACAAGTTTTTTCTTAATATGTTAGATACAAATGATAACTTGCAAACATCGAAAATGGTCATAAAATAAAAATTATACAAAAAAAAAAAAATCAAATTTAGTGGAAGGCATGTTTTTTTTGACTAATTGTGTCCACAAAGCTAAAATATTCAATGCATTACTTAACTAATATGAATATACACTTCTTTAAAACAAGAATATTGCAATAATTAATTTATACTTTTTTGTCGCTAATTACATTATGTTACAGAATTTTTTTGTATTCTCATTTGTTGAAGTATCCTCATTTTCACCACCTACTTCAGAATTATTTTGAGTGTTATTTTCTTCAGATTTTACATTATCACTATTATTTTCACAAGCAACTGTCTCAGGTTCTAGGGAATTCTCTTTTTCAACTATGACTTCAGCTATAGAAATATTTGGTTCATTTTCACTTATTGAAGTACCATAGGTTATTTTTTGAAAAGGATATTTCATTAAATTCCATAGTTTAAGTATTTTAGTAGACTTTTGTTCTTGTTCTGGTAAATCTTCAAATTTTCGCTTTCGTTCATTAATTAATACCTCTTCATCCAGTAATAAAATATCATCTTCTAACGTAGTATCTAAATCCTCGTTAGAATGTAATGGTGCTCTTGATGATATATTAAAGAAAGATGCAGGTGACCTAATATTATTCAATTCTAAATCATCTTCCAAATCATGCGAATACTCATTATCATCTAAAGAATCACTTGGAGAATATGGAATATCTAGACATTTGATTGAATTTACCTGAAAAATTAAATACATTTTAAACTAATACATATTACACTATTATAAATGAGCAACATATAAGTAAAACACAATCATAGTGTTTTGAGTGTTTACTCAAATTTAACAAAACTTGATAATTAAATTAAAATATCATATTACATGTAATTTAAACTTACTTGAATATCCTTTTCACCATTTTTTGCATCTGCTTCATTTGAATTTTCATTAGAGATATCAATAGTTTCTGATTCTCTATCTTCTTGAGTGCAAATTGAACCAATAGTAATATTACGATCTGTATCACTATCCATTTCTAAATTTGGTTCTAATGAAGATGTATTATCAACATCAAAATTTATACTATCAGTTTTATTATGGTTTCCGTTTAATTCACTGCCATTAGTTTCTACAGATTCATGAAGCTTTTGTTTCTCATCATCTTTATCTGTTTTTTTGGATACAACTTTTTTTAAAGTCAACAAATCATCACCATTGTTAATAAATAAACAACGTGTATCTTTTCCACTCACCACAGCTTCAGTCATTTTTTTTTCTTTCTAAAATCAGAAAACAACAATTTATTTAATAAGACTATAGAAGATATTTTCTGTGTCAAAATTAATTAACCGGAATGGCAACTTAGCGCCAAATCCTAATAATAACTAGTGTTTTCACTCTATTATAACACATTGATATTTACATAAATTTAAATTATGTTGAATAAAAATAATAAACAGATCTTTTAAAATTTAAACTCAGTTTTAAATAGTCTCAATTTCAAAAACTTGTATAAATCAAAAGTTTGAACTACAACTTGTGTAGTAATGTAATAGGCATTTTATACCATATATAGTATATTTTTAATACAGTAATTTATTACAATCCAAATAATTAATTCATAGTAACCTAACGTGAATTAATAAGGCATATGTATATGCATGATGAAACTAGTACAAAAATTAATTTAATTGTAATGCCATTAAAAATTATATTATTTAATCCTAGTAGTAGATAGTAATTCGTAAATATATACATATGTACAATGTTTATTAATTGTACTTCCAGTATAGAAAATATAATAACATATTTTAGACATGTCTTTTTTTCTAGTAAAAAAAGTTAGTATGTATATTTTTTTTTAAATTTATACTGTTACAAATTGATTTTCATTTAAATGGATAAAATCTGAAATCAATATTATTATTATAAATATATATTAAACTTTTTTAATTTTCTAATAAGTTAAAATTTTGATTCAATTTTAAAGGAATGAATTGGTAATACACTCATGATTATTAAATGTTTTATTAAGTCAACAGGTTTGTTGTTCAACAAAACTGATTTAAAAATTATTAAAAATTTTAATGATTCTCCTCATACCTGTAACCCTACTATATATCATATAAAATAATCTACTATTAATTACATTTAAAATAAATTACTGATATGTAATTTTGTTATTTAATGAAGAACTATAAGAACTTCAATATAAAATTATAATCAACAATGCACATACTCAATAATATCTATAGAAAATATGAGAAATTAACTTATAAAAAGAAAATTTATAATAGGTGATACTGATTAGGTATTAATGGTATCAAAAAACTTTTAATCATGCAAGCAAAAAGTATAGTATTTTTTTTACTTCAATTATATTATTTAAAAAAATATTTAAGTACAGCTAGATATATGATTTTAAACTATTTTTTGTTGTTTATGCAACTTTAAACTTAATTGAAATATTTGTATAAAAACGTACTACAGAACTTGTACAAAATAAAACTATTGATATTTCTTGGATGCCAATTAAATAAACATTTATAATATTATTAAATACATAAATTGCATAAAACATTAGGAAATATATTCAATAATTTTAATGAAAAAGATAAATGATAAATAATAAGTTATAATAAATAACAAATTATAAAGAAAAACATTAGTTAATTATTATTTGAAAATATTCAAAATTATCATAAAATATAGAGCCTGATAGAATATAAAAAAAAAATAAATGCATAAAATGTTAGTTTAGAAAATTTCAATTCCTCAATTGTTCAGCATTATCTTCATCATAGTCTTCAAATTCTTCATTTTCATAAAATTCATCTTCTTCTTCACTATCTGCATCATTACTATTATGTAATGACTGGACACGTGTAAATGCTTCATATATTTCATTCAAACATTCTGGGTTATCAGGTACTAGTTTGATTTTAGATTTCATTTCTTCTTCTTCCTCATCGTCATCATCTTCTCCAGAATCATCATTGTCTTCATTATTATGATTTTCACCATTTAAAATTTGTCCATTAACAGGATTTATATTATCAGAAGGTTTATAAGTGAAATCAACTATTATTTGCAAACAAGGTTTTTCATGTACTACTGGATGATTACATGTACCAAATACAGACATAGATTTGTAATCAATACTAACTACTTGATTAGTAGCATCATTCTTCCAGTATAGTTTACTTTCAGCAACATACAGGGTGCCTTTTCCAAATGTTATCTCATCAACTATAAATGCAACATTAGATTCATAGCGCTGAATTGTTTCATCTTCTTCATTAAAACTAGCAAGTGTATCCATTTTTATTTTATGTTTATAAAATTATTTATTACTTTAATGTGGAAACTATATAATTAATAATATAGATATCGGCTTGACACTGAAAAATACAAAACAAATAGCCTAAGCCTAAATGGAAAGATACAATTAAAATCTAAATATTTTAAAACTACTCATACAAAAAGCTTGAAACCTTATAAATTCTTATGTTTGATACAGTTATAATAATTTATTGGTTAATAAAAATATTCAATATTCATATTTAAAATTGATTTTATCGTTCTATTGTTTATACCATAATCAAAATAAAAAATTCCTCTACTCGATTATCAATGAAATAAAGAAAACTATAGGTAGGTCTCTTAATTGAACATAGTACTAGTTTCATTTATATGGTATTTAAATAAAAAAAAATTTACAAATAATACCCATAATATTATAATTTAATTATTAATTAGTTAAAATATACCATGCAGTATGACCTAATGAGAAACGTCTTATGAACAACAAAATTACATTAACTGCAATTGTCTATTTCGGCAATACAACAAAATAAACGGCTATGGCGGTATTTTTAAGAGCCACGTTTATTGTTTATTACGAAATATCCGATACGGAATAAGTAAATAAATCTAGATAGCAACTTAGTGTCTTACCTTAAGAGATAATAATACAATACGTACGAATTTGTAAACTGTAAAATGAGAACAGAATATTTACAATAAAAACAGAACAGATCAGACACAATTTCACTCAAACAATATCAAGTTCAAGAGCAATGTGACGGATAACAAATTAACAAGTAATTTAATTCTTACACATCAAATAAATAATCGGAATTCAGAATCGGAAACTGTTCCAGACAGCGGCTCAAGTAGTAAGGTTGGTTTATAACTTGTTTATACTCGAGACAGTTTGACCAAATGGAGAATATAACAAATAATTTTAATGTTTGGGATCTGAACATTCTTTTAGTGGTTAAGTAGTTAACAGGTTTCTTCCCTTTCTTTATTTTTATTTAAATTAAGATTATAATAGATTGTTATGTATATTATATAGGTATACTATATAATATATTATATACATAAGTTGTAATTTATTATTATGAATAAACAATATGATATATTAATATTTAATATACTTTTACTTATTACTAATTAGGTTTTTTAACAAGAAAAACTAGACGTGGAATTTTAATTTGAACTACAAAAGGGTAATCATAAAAATAAAGATTTTTTTTAAGAATGCTAAGAAATAAAAATCTACAATTTCAACCATTGGTACTATATATAACTAAGTAATATCAACATGAAAAGTAGTCGATGACCAATGAGAAGCTAGTAGCAAATTTTGCATCAGTGGGTAACATAAATTTAAAACAAATTTTTTCATTTCTTTAAACACTTATTCAATGCCTATGTATTAAATTATAATTCATATACATAGGCAACACAAATTATAAGAGTAAGTTTTTAAATAAATTGTTGTGGGTTTAAAATACTTTTATTTATTTCAACATAAACGAAACCGATAAATTTAAGAAACCATGTGTACAACTAATATGGTATAAATATAGATGCATAAACTGATTTTGTATTACAAAAAAAAATAATATTAATATTATTATATTCGATACCTAATTTTTAAGGAATACATTGTATGTTATAAATTTTCATAATTCTATGCAAATATGAAATAATATATTTTTATTATAAAAACTTAAACCATTATTCTTTATTAAAATATTTTTTTAAATATATATTTAGACCGAAAATATCAATAATAATTATGTAATATGTATATTTTTGATTACAGTATAAACTTACGGAAAACTCGTTTTAAATTGTTAACCCTTAGCTGTAAAAATTAAACATTTTAAAAATGTTTAAAACTTCTAGTTATGCAAAATTAAAATATATACTTAAGTATTTTTAATATCCTGAAATAGATATATTTATAATTTATGAGAATTGAGGAATATCACGTTAATTTTTCAATTTTATAGATTCCACAAACATTTTTTATCAACATTTAAAAATTTTTTTATTTTGAATGTCTATAAACGCTTAGTTTACAGTCAAAATAGTTTGAATGCTACTATAACATTTAATCAAGTATCTATAATGTTATTCATTTTTTAGTAACAGCAATGTTAATAATCCTAGGTACTTATATTAGTTATATTAAAATAAATTAAATTTAATAGCTTTATCAAAAAAACATACCATGAATTATATTTATGCTATAAATATGCCAATCTATTTTTAATCGATTTTCATGTACAATACTACTTAATATTTAACACATACATATTACATTCTGTGACCTATTTGACAACTAATTTACAGTAGAACAATACTCATCCAATTTTAAATATATAATAAAATTGGATATAATTTAAATAAATCATTAGGCCTGTAAGTTTATTCATTTTTTTTTTTTTTAGGAACTTATTAGACGATGTTCTCCTGGCCACAAATGTGTTTCATAAACATGTGAATCTAAATAGCTAATTTTGATTTTGTATTTTTTATTTTTTAGTAATTTTTACATCATATTTTTTTTTTAGCTCAATTTAATGTATTTATTATTAGATTTTATCAATTAACATCTTTACATGCATAGTTTTTGTTTTACACAGACTGTACATAAGTACTTACATCAAATTTATAGTTTATAAAATAATATTTTACATACGTTATATAACGGTTAGCTAAAGATAAAGATTTGATAGAATAAGGCAATAGCTATCTGTCATTTTTTTACTTTTGCCAATATAAAATATGCTTTAATAGTACAATGTAATAATTTTGAGTAATTTTTATTCTTTTTTTTTTAAAAATGTATTTTTATTACTTTTAAACAAATATTTATAATTTTTTTAGGTCATTTATACATAATTTTTTAGGTCATTTTTTAAAAAATGTTTTTAAGGTAATCAACTTCCAAGACCTATAAATCATTAATAAAGACTATCGTTATTTTAATTCAAAAATCTTCATAAAAACTTGAAAATTTTACATTTATTGTTATATTTAACTATTTACAATGACATTTTAAAAATATTTAGATTAATTTTAAGCTATTGCCTATTTTAACATCATATATATCAAGAATTTATTCACATCATTCTAAATCTAAAACATATGAAATTTCATCTATTTTTTTGGTTAAACTGTAAGCCAAAATTTACTCAAAATTTAATAACAATAATATGATATAAATGTCTGTTTTATAGTAATTAATAATATACATATTATGGTTCAACAAAAAATAATTCAATTTAGCATATTACCAATGGTAAAATAAATTAATTTAAATAGCAATATAAATATACAAGATGATTCTTTTTATCATAAATTACTAATTATTTTAAAAACTATCAATACATTTTTAAACATTTATTTTTTTAAATTTACAATATAAATAAAACATTAAAAAAAATTTACATATTTTATAAAAGGTTTTAAAATAATGAGAAATTCATGACAAAAAATCACCTTGTATACAAGTATAATATAGTTAGTAGTTTTTATAAATAAGCTGACACATAGTTTCTGTCTAGAATTATTTTTTTGTATGCAATAATTAATCATTGAATTAAAATTTAATATATACTGTACTGATCTACTCATTGATGAGGTATATTTGATGCCAACTATACAGTACAGCAATTACTTCCAATTTTTTAATTATTAGAACTCAAGGATTCAGTTTACTGCTCAAGAATTAAAATCATTACAAGAACAAAATTTTTAAAGTAGAAAAAAAGAAACGCTTTTACATATCTACTGTTTAGGAAGTATGTCTAACTATTGTTGCTTTTGCATTTAGAAAACATATTGTCATATTTTTCAATTACTTCTAACCCATTGCCAATTAGTTATAGAATATACCATTATTAATCATTAGATTTTGTACAATGCTATTTGTTATGCTTTAACCCTAACTGAGTTTGTTCAAAATTATTGTTTTGAAATCGATTTATTTTTAATTCTTATTCTCAGAATTATAGCTACTTAATTGGTAAAAATATATAGACAGGCTTTAATTAGAATCAAATTTTAAAGTTGGAATCATAAAATATATTACAATGTTTTAATATTTTGCAATGCTTAGAATTTTTTAAATTATACACATGTAACTTGCAAAAAATTAAAATATCATAAAACAGCCAACGTTAAATAAAAAATTACAATTTTTATATTAAATACATGTATTAACAAACATGCATAATTTTTTATTCAATTAGTTTTTAATACCAAAAATATAAATGATAAAAAATTATTTAACAAATTAAATTTGAAATATTTAATAATTATTAAAATAATTTATTACGCTTATATCAACATGTAGAATTTATTATTTTGGAGTATAATACATAGCATCTATAAAATATCTTGTGATATCACCAACTATTGTTCTATCCGGCAATGTGGCAGACATTCCATACATAGCCATCTATAAAATCAAAATACTTAAAATTAAAAAAAAAAATCTTTTATTTGATTAAATAATTAACTTACTTTTCCAGAAAGTTGAACATTAGGAGTTTTTAATATTTCAATTAATTCTAGTTTTAAATCTTCAATAAATAATGAAGCTACACCAGGTTTTGAATGTAAATGTGTAATACAAATATGAATCCTATAAATATATGTTATTAAACAGAGAGATCATTTTTTAAGGTAACATCGAAGATATTGGCTAGATTACATTTGGATTGAATTGAAAATTTTGCAATAGAATTAAAAGTTTGAATAGTTTAAATAAATGTTTAAGTAGGTATTGATAGTTTGTAAACTAAAGTTCAAATTCAATCTAATGTAATCTAGCCAAAAAAGTTATTGCCCTGAATAAAATTATCATTTTATATACATATATACTATATATTATTCTTTAATCTGGTTTAAACTTTAATACTTAAACAATATGATTATTGTAATCAACTAAACCTTACCCAATTGGAAATTGTAAAGTATTTAAATTCCAACCTCTGGCATTTAATGCATCAGATAATCGATAAATATTAAAATCATTTGAACCAATTGCTATCACAGATGTAGTAGGCTTTCCAAAAATGAAAATACCCTTCATACTACGTAATCTGTAAATAAAATAATAATTTAATATTTTCAAGTATTTATGTCAATAAATTATACAAGTTTGAAAATGGAAAACTCATTCAATCATTTTATAAATTATTGTCCCATAATTAATTTTAATGTGACGAATAATAACCTACTTAGTAATATTTTTCTTATTATGTCTTTAGACTAGTGCTCAAAATTATAAATTTAAATTAAATTTAAACCTGATAATATATATTATTAAATTAAATCATGGTAAATATTATAATTTATTCTCAGTTCAATGTTTAAATTTACACAAAATAAAATGTTGAACAACTGTTTTTAAGTTTAATGAAAAAAAAAAATATACATATTATTTTTAATTTCTAGCATGGTGAACACTAAAAGAAATAAGATAATAATGTTCTGTGGATGACATATTAGTAATTAATCTAGTTTTAGTCAAGAAACTTTGGGTAATAGATATGCTAAAAAAAATTTACTATAAAAAGATATTACATAGTATTTGATAATCAAATGTTTCTAAAATGTGATTATTGATAAAACACTTACTGTTCTTCAATAAATATTTTAGTGTCCATAACTTCTTTTGTTGAAGTAATATAGCCATTCATACCAAAATACATTAAAGTGGCCCAGCATGCAGCAATTATACCTTAAAAATTACAGTATCATGTACAATATAGAAATAAAATTATGCATTTAATTTCATAATTTTTTGAAATTGTTATAAATTTAAACAAATATTATTACCCCCAGATCTTGATCCGCCTATAGTTGGTGAACCATAATGACCACCAGGCCATTCTGTGCACACATAATATTGGTTATGTCTATATTTTTTATCAGAATACAATATTACTGAAGAACCTTTGGGTGCATATCCATACTTATATGTGATTAAGTATGATGAAATTTAAAATAAATTTATTTAGTACATTATTTTGATTTAGAAATAAATAATTAAAGCATTAAAAAAGTACCTTGTGTGTATCAGCAGATATACTTGTAACACCAGGTAAAATAAAATCAAATGGAGGTAGTGGAAAACCTGCTTGTGGCATAAATGCTGCAATGAAACCACCTAAACAACAATCAACGTGGACTGGGACATTATACTTAAGACCTAAAGCTGATATTGCTTCTATATCATCAGATGTTCCATATGGGAAATTAGGAAATGATCCGACTAGCTGTAAGTATCATACATGGTTATGTATAATAAATAATAATATACTTTATGTTTATATTTATATTTAACAAAATAATTAATTAAAACTAAAATTTTGTTACAATCCCCTTCATTTTTTGTGCTATATAATATATTTATTAAAAATAATTGTATTATGTGTATTATGTTTTATGAGTTTCAATAAGGTAATTTACCAAGTTCTATAAGTATTTATAAATTAAGAATTGGCATTTATATTAATTTTAAATTATTAATAAATCTTTTATAACTCTAATATTAGACCATTACAATAATTTCAATCAATAGCTCTAAAAATTATTGTAAATGCTCTCTGGTACAAAAAAATCAAGATCTTCATAAAGACCTCCAACAACAAATAAACATTACAAAACATTTTAAAACAAACTAAAAGACTACTCTAATCCATCAATTCATCAAATGTCTTCCACAACTATCCCAAACAACATCACTCATCATCTAAACAGGGACTGGCCTCACGACCTATTAGATCTTGTGTTATTGTAATACTTTGGGTCAGTCATAAGAAAAAAAACAATTATTGAGTAATATTGTAGGTATGGGGCTAGTGGGTTTCTTCCTATTCAAGCTTTCATGTCATTGTTGTTTTTTATTTAAAAAGACGTTTATTGTGAAACACTGCCACAGATTGTAATTCTTATAATCAATAAAATAAAAAATAAAAAACTCAATGAAAAATTGCTATATATTAAATATTGTAAATTCTTCAAAAATGTATTCAATTTACTAATATTTAATTTATAAGTTAAGTTTCAAAGTCAAAAAAATGTCATCACTATTAGATATGTATTAAATTAGTGGTCTTCAACCGTTTTGGACTCGCAACCCAAGTTTTTGGGCTTGTATTTTTTGTGACTCAGTTAAGCTTTGTAGAAAAACAAAAAAAAGCTACAATTGCTTAATGCTTTATAGTAGTAATATTTTAACTGAATAGATAAAAATTATATTTTAGTAGGTACAATATTAAATAATTATGAATTGAAAATGTATAGAATGCATATGAAAAAATATAATAGAATAAAATACGATACAAAAAATTTAATCTGATATTTGTCCTTGAGTGTTTTCAGATAATAAATTCCATCTTGGCTAATTTGACTAGTGCATCTCTATATCATCTTTAATTTCAAGACTGTTTCGTTTTGACATATATTTCATCTAATAAACTTAAATTTTATTAAAAAAAAAGACTTATCGCAACCCAATTATAAATATTATGTGACTCATCAGTTGAATACCACTGTATTAAAATATATCATTATTTTAATGTTTATATTATAGTGATATTTATTAAATTTATATAAATAAATGTACATTATTAAGTGTAAAATATAAGAATTTATAATTTAAAATTAAAAATACAAGTCGTTTTGGAAAATAATGATTACCTTGAAAAGTATAAAGAGGCCCATAACTATTGAACAAAAACACCTAGGCATTTATTCATTTTGTTAATAATTTATTGATTTTAATTTTAAACCAATTGCTTTGTAGGGGTGAGGCATTATAATAATTAATATACAACAAGTATTGCCTGACCACTACCCCATTCATTTCTTATGTTTAATAGAACACAATAGGTTACAATACTACTATTTTTCTGAATACATTTTAAATCAAAACTTTAAAGGTTATTCTAACTTCACCTACTTATTTGTCAAAGCCTAATTAACAAAAGCTCCACCAGTTAAATTAATTACACATCCGTTTAATTTTTTTTTTTAATTTGTATGTTTAAAATATGTAATAATATATAATTAGCTTACCAGCAATGTATTCTTTGTTATTGCATTTTCCATTTTTTTTAAATTAACTGCATAAGTATCAGGATATAATTCAATGTGTACAATTTTAATGCCAAAATAAGCAGCAGCTTTATCAAATGCAGGATGTACCGATCGTGGAACTATTATTTCACCTTTTTTAATACCGCGTTCACTTTTTCCAAAATCTCTATAAGATTTACATGCCATTATAATTGATTCTGTTCCACCACTAGTCATCTTAAGTAAAATAAATAATAAAATTAATGATTATTAATCTATTTTTTTTATTTTTTTTGTTATAACATACTGTTCCACAAGCATTGGAATCCCCATGAAATAGATTTACAACTAAACGTACAACTTCTGCTTCCATTTTACAAATTCCTGGAAATATATCTGAGTGCAGAGGATTTGTATAAGAAGCCAAACCATATACTTCAGTAAGCAACTTAATTAGTTCTTCATCATAATAATAAATAGCACCAGAAATAAACCCCTCTTTCCATTTATATTTACCTAAAAAAAAAGTAAACTTTGTAAATAATGCATATGAATTTAGAAAAAAAAAAAAACTATATCTTACCAAGATCTAAATACCTATTTACAGTTTTAATTAATTCATCTCGAGGAATTCCTTGTGATGGGAGTTCAACAATGTATTTTTCACTCTTGGTATTTTCAATAACTTCATTTTCAAAAAGGTCAGAAATTTTTTTAGTTTCTTCTTCGACTTGTTTTTTGAATTTTGGTATTTTTTTAATTTGCGTAAATGTAAATTTTTTAAATCTGTTATACAAACCTAAAAAATGTAGTCAGAAAATGTATATGATTATTTAGTAAGTAGAAAAATGTTATATAAATAGATTTTACAAAAATATTAGAAGTATTTTTGCTGTTCAAATAGTTGTATGTAACTGGTAACTACTAATACACTATTAAAAAAATAAAGAATTTATGTGAACATTAAAATTGTTTTATAATATATTTTTAAAAATCTTAAACTCTAATAAACATGGCGATAATATTTAATGAATCACCTTATATTTTTATAGCTGTATATAAATTACACACTTTTTACAACAATGATTCAATTCAAAAAAAGAATACAAAATATAGATATCTACAGTATTTAAAATATAAAATCTAATAATGGGTAAAATAACATAAATAGTTTAAAAAATAAAAAATTATAAACCAATAACAACGTATTTGTATTAATAGCTACTACTTAATTTTTGGAAACATCTGGTAAAATTATAGTCATTTTCTAGGGCTTTACAATAATACAATCAATTTGTATTTATTTGTGAATACCTTAAAAAATAATATCTTTTTACTTAAGCTTTGTAAGTCTAGATTTGATAGTTAATTTTATTAGGTAGGTATAAACCACCTATAAGAAATGAAATAATTGTTTGTTTAGAAATCAGAAGTGAGAAAATGTAATGAAATACTAAAATTATTTTAGCAATATATAATTCAATTTTAAGATTAGGGATTACTTTAAAACTTTTAGTATGATTAGTATTTTGATTTTCTAATTTAAAATAAAAGAAACTTGCTTTCATCTTGACATAAAAAATTCCATAGCCAATAAGATGTTAATATACTGGAAGCTGTGATAGAAGCAACTTGCCAAGGTTCCCGTTGTCCAAACAAATTATTAACTGAATTTTTAGTTAACAAAATGCTATTGTTAACCAAATCCATATTAAACTCAATAATTGGAATGATCTATAAAAATGGTGAAAAAAAATAGGTATAAAATATTAATTGGTTAAAATGACAAGTATTTTTTATGTCATAACTTTAGTCAACAACTTTGATTAATTTAATATTCATTAATTCTAAAGCATAATTTTATTCTTATTGGTACAATAATAAAATGGCGAATTATTAATAGTTGGTAATTAAGTACTAAATAAAGTATAATAAAGAATTTGAATACAAACGTGATGATAAGATCTTATAAATTTTCTAAAATGTCATGATTAAGCATTTTTTTTTTTTTTAAATAACATTCAACGTTAAAAAACTAAAAATACTCACTTCGGTATATTATATTTGATGACGGTATTTTAAGTTAAACAAATCGTCATTGAACCATAATATATTACGATATAGACCACAGACGTTGCACAATGTTTGTTTTTGTATAATTATATTATAATTTGATTAATTTTATAATCATTGAACATTCAAATTTATAGTCGGCACAATCGCAACAGATAATTTATGGCATTTCCTCGATTATTGTCAGAATAATACATTAACATGATATTATGAAGTGCACATAGTTACATGTCGAACGGTCATTAACGTGCACTAAATGCGTGTGACTTGTGGATGTGGAACTGTGAACCGTTAATCGTCATATATATAATATATATGTTATACTGATGTCTAGTGTATATAGTACGCGCGAGGATCCATGTGAGAATATGAAGGCCGACGGGTATTGGGCCATGTTACGAAAACCAATAGGGAAGAAGGAATCAGGGGGAAAGTGACAGGAAATAGCCTATAAGCCGATTGAGTTGTACAGACGTGCAGTGCGCCAGTGCGGGTGTACCATAGTAAGTGGAACACACTTGTCGTTGGTCGGTGAGTAGGTTATATTCTGTGGTTGAGGTGTACTACGGTGACTCACAGTCAATACACATTTAACTGTGTATTAGGTCGCTATTAATTTGTATTATAAATACAAAAGTGCCTTGACAGAAAAAAAATTCAAGGTTCTCTAGTGCGACTGTAACGCCTGTACGCACATAATTATTATATGAAATTTGAATGTAGTATGTTTACAAATGATTATTGTAATTATCGTTAGTAAATATAACACCTAAAAGCCAGCCTACAATAATATGGTACTATTGTCTGTGTCTGTCAGCACACTACGTCGTCTACCTTTTTGAACATATTTAAATATATAATAGGAAGTGATCAAGTAATCACAAGTTCACAAGTAACAACGTTTGTCTGCCCGCATCTAGTGTTCTACACCTAACTGTCTAACCACCTAGGTCTACATTTCATAAGCACCGTGTTTAGTGTGTAGACATGTAATAAAATATCGTAATACACATTAATACATTATACCTGTTTACCTATAGTTAATTTTTTTCTTTAACATTTAATCTAATGGGAGAACGAAATATGACCTTGAAAAAGTAATACGACAGTGTGACCACTAGTCCTATCATGCATCTCCTCGTTCTCATAGTACCCATTTGTGGGTTATCAAAACTCCAGAACGGAACAAGTAGTGATAACAGGTAAAAATCAGGACACGGTAATAATAATAATAATAATAAATAATTAAAATTAGTACTATAATAGCTGATTTTTAAAGATTAAGAGTTAAATAGCTGTATAATGATTAATAAAAATGTTCTTTACAAATGATTATTAATGAATAAGTAATGATGAGTAATTGAGCGTATTATGTAGTAATTAGTAAGTACTAAGTGTTTTCAATACTGAGTATAACTGTTATGAATATTGAATAAAATGTAATTCATTGTTGAAAATACTGAAACTATAATGGAATGTATAATTAAATTATTTTATTATTTTATTGTTATTCACCGTACTATAAATTCAATCTCAGTATTTTAATATTAAAGTTCACTCGATATTTATGTTTCTTAGTCATTGACTAATTAGTTGGCAAACATTTTTTCTATTATTATTACTAATAAAAGTATAAATTATGTGAAATAAATTTATGTAGAACAATAAATACGGTTCTATACTATTGTTTATTTTACCAACAACATCACACAATATTATAATGGCAAATACTGGAGTATTGCCTTTTGTACGAGGTGTAGATTTCAGTAACAATGATTTTAAAGTAAGTAAATTATATTGTTTTGTTCCGTTATTACATTTATTTATACAGATTTTTACACTAATTTTTGGTCATTCATGTAGTTAGTTTTTATTATAATATTTTTATAAAGTGTGAAAATGTATTAATTTTGTGTGAGCATGCAAGATTTTTCAATTGTAATCATATTAAATTAAGTAATAAATCTACAAAGTGTTTAGTTCATAAGTCTTAAATAAGAAATAAACTATATCAGTTAGGTTAGTAAAATTACAAATCTTCACAAATAATTTTTTTGAATTATGAAAAAAATTTAAAATTGTTATTTTTTGCTTAAAAGTAAAATATATAATTTCTTCCAAATTTAAAATTAAAATATATGAAATAAAAAACATTGTATAAATGTATTTTTTTAGGTTTATTGGTTAGTGATTATAATATTAACTACTTATGATGAACGTTGTAATTAATCTTAAACTATAAAAATTGAGTTATGTGCATTTCTAATATTGTATTAATACTATGTTTAAATTGTTACAAAAACCACTAATTGGGTCCAGCAAAAAAAAATTGATATTTATGTATAAAAATTTCAAATATCTCAATGATTATTTGTGTATGAATTGCAACAAAATAAGAAAATCATTATGTATTAATTAATTATCAATTTCTTATATATTTAAGAATATATGTTGGTGGAATTATACTTATTTTTTACTATAAATTTGTAACATGTTAAATATTTTGAATACTTTTAAATTAGTATATATTTAGAATAATGTATGAGGAACCTTGTATTTAATTTTTTATTGAAATTAAAAAAAAAAAATCTAAAATGTAAAAATGTCTATAAATAACTCATATAGCATCAAAATATTTTAGTTACATCAAAAAACAAAGTTGATCTTATCAAATACTAATTTTACATTAAAATTTCTATTTTTCACAATTATTTCAAGTAATACTCAGAATTTTGATACCTTAAAAGTATCAAATAGTTTTATCTAATTTGCAATCAGGAAGTACCTTTGAAAAAAATATCTAATTTTTCCTTATTTAATTCAATAAATTCATCATATTCCGCTAAGAATTAAAAAATTTAATTTAGTTTTTAAAACAAAAATATAATGAATTTTTAATCAATAATGTTTTTGTATTATTAAAAAAAAAAAATAAACAAATATAGTAGAACCTCATAAGACTAATTGGTTCTCTAGGTTATGTGGCTTAATGAAACTCCACATTAAACAAAGTAATCTGAAAACCTGTATTGTAGATTTAAGAATATGTATTATAATATACAACATGCTTACATAGCATTAGGCTCTATAAAATTATCATACAGATTTGAGGAAATTGCTGATTTTTTGTTGTCTTCCTTTCTCATTAATTTCTATATTAAATTATATCGACACCTCTAATGTTTATAAAATGCAGATATGTTTTCATTGTTGTTATTTTCAAAATATTTATGACCGTGTTTGGATGGTTTTTAATTTTGTAAGTTATGGATTTGGGGTAATAATGTACATCACTCCATCCCTTTTAGAGCATTCTTAATTAAAATGTGATAACCTAGATCATCTTCATCTACTTCTAGCCACAACTCAATGAAACTTATTTTTTATCACCTTAACGGAATGTGTTTCCAATCTAGTATCTGGCTTAATCTCTTTATTTATTAAAAGTTTATCAAAATGATTGTGTTTTATCGTTAATAGCAGATGCAAAATTTTATAACATGAATTAAACACGTAATCTTTGAGATTCTATAACATGTTAATCCACTTCTATCTTCTTTACTGGCACCTGGTTTCTCAAGATACAAAATTTAATTTTAAAGTTTCTTTATTTATAAACGCTTAGCTTTATAGATGCCGCCTTGATTCATTGGTTAGATTACAGAAGTTGTGTTTGCTGGCTAGATTTTATTTTAAGATAAACATCAAAACAGCCTTGAATGACTGTTAAGATTAAGTGAAGTCAATCTAATGAGGTTCTACTGTATTATTGGTTTTTTACTATAATCATTGGCTGTAGCATAAATGTTTTATTTTCATGCCAAAACTTAGTCTAAGATACTATGTTAAATATTGTAGCAACAATTAACAATGATACTAATATAGTTCCATTGTTTAGATAATTACTTTGAATTAGTATTTAGAGATATTTAAAATTTTAAAATTTTATTCTTTACCCAAAATTGCATTAAAACTGCCTTTATTTAACCCTTTAAGTATATGTCTTATGTATCTATCAATTAATATTTTGTCTATCTCGACTCTTAAAAAATTGTAATAAATCATGTTTTAATTATACTAGTCTTATTCCTCAATTAAAAATTAACTTTTTTTTTAGTCATCAAAATTTCCTTCTGCTGTTATGTCAATGTCAAGTGTTCAATGGCTGAATTTAAATAGAGTAAAATTACATGAAATTCCAGAAGAAATTGGAAAACTTGGAAAATTAGTATGTATTTATTATATTAATATACATAAATATTTTTTATACTTTGCTTGTATATATATATATATATATAAGTTTTTGTTATTTGACTTGTGTAATAAATAAAATATTTTTGTTTGACACTATATGTTAGCAAATTGTAAATTTGTAACTTATTTTCAGTAAACTCAATATCATAATATTTAAATTAGTAATTTATTTATTTATAATTTAGGAGCATTTGTCAATTGCACATAATAATATTGAAAGATTATATGGAGAACTTACAGAACTATGCTCATTGAGGTCATTAATTGCTCGTCATAATTGCATTAAGAGTTCTGGTATACCTCAAGAACTTTTTTACAATAATCAAACAACAACTGAATTGACAACTTTGGATTTAAGCCATAACCGATTAACTAGAATACCAGATGGTTTAGAATCATCTTCAAGTCTTCTAGTGTTAAATCTTTCTCATAATAGGTAATATTTAAAATTTAAACTGTTGTTATACTTACTCTTACTCTAGACCAGGAGTCGGTAAACTTTTCATAGGAAAGGGCCATTTTTTTAAAAAGTTACTAAACCATAGTCCAGAGAGTCACACAGGTTAAACAACCTTTTAGGGGTATACTATTGTCTCGATAAATTGATAAACTGATAAATTTTCAAAAGAGCTGCTAATTGCATATTAAGGAGCCGTAGGTGCTACCATAGTATATAGCAAGAAGGGTCAACATTAATAGATTTTGTGGACCACATAAATCAAATACTATGATACTAAAAGCCAAAATGTTTATATATCCATTTTATATAATTTGATAATTTTTTATGAAATAATACTTAAAAAATTAAAATTTATAATAATATTTAGTAAAATTTAATATTTACAAAAAAGATGCGAGTCACATGTGGTAAGCAACTTGCAAGTTGACCACTTATCGTATATAGGCTTTAGACCTACTAATACAAACTAAAAATATTTAAAAATATTTTTTATTATCTCATATAATTAAAATTTTCTTGATCTTTAATCACTTTGTTTTATAGATTTTGCAGCATTAATAAATTTTTTTAGAATTTTTATATAGATAGTTACAATTAATTAATGATCTTTATTAAAAATATTAAAGCTTTTTAAAAATATTAAATTAATGAAGTTTGTATTTTAGAACATGTTATGTACTTGTATAGAGCAAGAACATGCTAAAACTTAGAAAGTTTAATTTTCTAAATAAGTGACTTTTTAAATATTTATTTTTTTTTTTTTTTAATGATTAATAGGGAAAAATAGTAGATATAGGAAGTTAGTAGAATTTAGTTATAATGGCAT